GTACCATAATTTTTTCGGTTATTCAATCCCTGGTTTCAAGTACTTTCGTTACTAAATGAATGTGGTATCCTATCCAAAAATGTATTTATGTTCGGGTAAATTATAATCATTACATATAATACACCATAGAAAAGAATAGAATGTGTTTTATATACACCAGTTTTTAAAACAAGTTTGAAACATTTTAAAATTAAAATAACAGTAACAAAAAATATTGGGCAGTTCGACTCTAATGATTCCTTACCCAAGCTACGAGCCTCGGTGATAAAAATTTATTGCTTTTCGTACGTATCTTTGTGAATACAACTATAGGCAATGTATTTAAGGTTGAATTTACATAAATGTATATTCATTTCAACTAGAATTACGTCACAACAATTGGCGACAGTTTTTAGAGAACTTTTGTATGGGATTGTGTATCTAGTTTTTTATTAGTGATCGATGCCGAACACCAATTAAAACTTAAAACACTAATAATTAATCACACTGATTCACTTTATTTCGCTCCGAAGCTTCGCTTGTCTCGCCAAATTCAATACTGTCCCGATCGCGTCTTGCAGCGCCTTTAAATACACCTTTTTCACCGAAACATCCAGAATATTCAAGTAAACACGCGCGCAAACCGACCAGGCGCAGAAAAATCGAGTGTGGGGCTTCTAGAAAGCTTAATTCTTCTGTTCGATACTAGATGGCGCTGTTGGTCGAATCAAGATTGACATTTTCTAGGAAGCCCTCCTCGCTCTGGTCCCCGACACTAGATGGCGCTAGTTCCAGGTACCTGACGTCAACTTAGGCGCGCAACAATATATAAACATCATATAGCTGCAGCATAGCTCTACCACGTATAACCATACATTACTGGATTAAAAATGACGGAAGAAAATATAAATGGTTGAAATAATCTTTGCAAGGTTTTTATTCATTGTTTTTTGAAAAAAATTCTTTAACATCGTTGTTATTTCAAACTCAATGAAACGAAAAAGTGACATTAAAAATAAGAAAAATATATATAAATGTATAGGATATGCCTACGAGAGAATGAGATACAATTTTTATACTTAATATAATAAAGTGGGTGAGGTTTTTTATTTGTTCTCTGAAACTAAACGTCCGATTTGATAAAATGTTTTTGTATATGACAGACTGATTCACGCAGAATAGTGTAGGCTATCTAGCATTAGGCTATACTTAAATATTGATTTTTGTAAAGCAAGTCGGAAGAAAAAGCGCTCCCGAACTGCTATATCCACGTGCGCTGGCGTAATGGTTAGTGATACGTAAAAGCTTTTTCTACAAAAATATAAATTCTTTCTCCATCTAAAAAAAGTCCGAGATATTAAAGGCCTATTTCTTATAAGCCAGCATAAGGTATTTTGTGACAAAAAATATTGATAGTTAAAAAGTGATTAATATGCCATGCTTAATAATAGAGTTATTATTAGGTATGGCATATTAATCCTTATATTCAATATAGTTATCATATCCAAAACATTCCTAACAATCCACGATTTTATATCCTACCGATTTATATTGAATTAGTCGTGTTTAGGCCATCTAGTGTCTATTTTACGGACCGCCTTGAGAGTCGATCAATTTTTGTTCTATAACATGGTTTTACCTATACAATGAAGTAGATATCGCTATTACAAAGCAATTTAAGTCAAAGGAAAATATTCTTTTGATTTAATACACTAAAGTTAAGCTCGACATGTCTAAAAATAAGGATTGTAACATTCAATTGCGATAACATTAAACTGTTATTTTATATTTTTATGCTGCACTTGTTGTTGAAAATTATCAAATTAAATAAGTCATTTGCAGTGAAATGTTTTTGTTTTATATTTCATTTCATTTTTAACGCGTGTGAACTGTACACATGTTTTTTATAGCACCATCAAATATGCACGTATTCTGTACAGTTATTTATACAGTTTTGATAGATTTTATATACTTAGGTACTAGTCCGCCAAACCGATTAGGTAAGTATTTTTATAGTGCCAAAACCATTTAGTCGACATTTTACACTCATTGAGCGACCGACAGGACTCTGGAAATCCTTAAAAATTTAACAGAATGGTAATGTCCTGTCTAAGGCAATTTGCTCGCATTTCCGATCTAATCAGCCCAGCCTGGCACAGTTGGGCCACGCTGGGCTGACTACGCAGCGCGGAGGTTAATATGATTTTTTTTAAGTACAAAATGTTTATCTGTGGTGTAATATAGCTCCCACGATACGAGTACCTAAAATTATTTATTTTTCTAATAGCAGCCTAATTAAAATTATTCAAAGAGCAACATGTGACTTTAATCTTTAATGATACCCCAACACTAACATCACAGCTATCAAACACTCTAAAAGGCTTATATATGTATATCATAATGTCCTCCAGACTGAAATTCATCACGGCGATCAGTCATAAATGGAGACTAGCAATATGCACAGACAAAATTATAGTACACGAGGTGTACTATCTATTTCCTAACTCTGATAGTCTGATGGGACGGCCACCTGACCAAGACCGGAGAGAGATCTGGTGCAGGACCAACGATATTATATGCTTTCCAAGGCATATGGGTGGAATACTACCCACTTCCTGGCTGCGAACTACTACCGAGAATTTCTTGACAGTTAATCCGAATTACTAATTTTTTATCGGTCCAACCCGGCATACGAACCCAGGACCTGATGATCAGCAGTCACGCTGATGAATAATAAACCAACGAGGCAGTTAATGTAATATTAGTAGTAACAGTAAATATAAAATGCTTTTGATTTTATATGTATGTAAATGTCACCTATATTTACTGTATTGTATTATGTCACGGATGGTTTTAAACACAATGGACAGTTGTGGTATTTATGTCATGTAACAAAAAAATAATGTACACGTATAGTTATGAATTTTGCGGTTCATAATAACGAAAGTTGTTATGTTTTATCGTGCTCGTGCATGATAATACAGAGAAAAAGTGAGCAGTCCATACTACAACAGTCAAGGGAGTTAAGGATACAATAAGTGGTAATTATCTCCATTAGCTTAGCATTTATACGTGGTAGAGCCACGTTGCAGCTATATTATGGTTGTAGCATGAATGGGTCGGCTCGACCGGGGAAGGTCCACGCTCTCACAGAATACCAGCGTAAAATAGCAGCTTAATGCTGCTGTGTTTCGTATGGTGAGTGTAGAGGACCGGAGACCCGTTTTACCGAAATCGAGGCATTCCATCTTAGTCCTCAAGGTTTGCAACGCATCTGCATTTTGATTCTGAATCGAGGTTAAACATAGATGTCTATGGGCCACAGCATCCACTTACCATCAGGTGGACTGTGTGCTCGTTTGTAACCCTTATCCTATAAAGCTAAATACTTTAAGAGCAACATAATGTCAAGTTGCTCAGATTATCTATAAATTGAGTGATGTAGATTTTAATTAGGTATATCTAAGTTAAAATGAAAGACCCATTTTACTGGAAACGAGGCATTCCATCTTAGTCCTCATGGGTGACAAAGCATCTGCATTTTGATTCGTAATCGAGGATAGATGTAGATGTCTATAGGCCACAGCAACCACCTACCATCAAGTAGACTGTGTGCTCGTTTGTTACCCTTATCCTAATAATAAAAAAGGGAAACAAACCATGATATGGGCAGCAGCGTCTTCCTAGTACCAACTAAAAAAATAAAAACTCAACAACAACTCTCAACAATAAAAAAAAGCCAAGCGTGACAAATATGGAAAAAGTGCCCCTATAATGAAATCTATGAAAGAGTGGTTTAGCTAAGAACTTTTTACAGGCTATAACGGTCCCGGTACGTGACTAAAACTATTATAATACGAATTATGATAATGGTATGCAAATTTTAATGAATCCATTGACTCATACTACAATGTTTGCTAAATAGCAAGTGCAATAAATTTCTTAACTTACAGACGCCTTATGAATAAAGGATAAAAAAGTAACGTGTTACGAAGTAACGTGTTACGAAGTGTGTCTTTGTCTGCATTACGAAAGAGATATTGCAATAATCGTAAAGTTGTTCGTTCACGTTCAAGAACGTTGACAAATCAGTCTATACTATGCATTATTTTGAAATAGTTATTGCAAAAATGTGTTGCAAACTGAAAGTAGCAAGTATGTCTCATCAGTCATCATAGAACAGATTTGCCAGAAGTACTGTACTGCTTATTATTAGAAACAATGCAGTTCATTCGATATTACAGAAATACGCATGTAACTTGAGTTGTAACTTGAATTAACGTTCGCTGATAATGCCTTCATCTATAGGCGATGACGGCATTACCATCATCCGCCGTGAACAACAGTGAGTAGGGACATCGTCATATTCATCCCTACATTGGGCCCATGTCCATTAGTGGACTGTTTCGAGTTGATGAAGTTACTTATATACCATTACATTATACGTAGTACCACCACATTATACGTAATAATAATAATAATAATGATCTCCAGATCGAACTTCGGTTATGGCGGTTAGTCTCAAAGGAGACAGGACAGGATCCTTCCTAGTGTGATGGGACGGCAAACTGAACGACCGAAGCAAGATCAGGCGTAGAACCAAAGGTATTAAGTGTTTTCCGAGGCACGGGGGTGAAACACTGTGAATTTCCTGACTTCTGGCTATTGATTTTGGTCCGACCCGGGATTCAAACCCTGGACCTCATGATCAACAATCGCGCCTACAACCAACTAGACTAACGAGGCAGTCGTACACAACCAGTACGTACATAATATGTATATTACTGTTATGTAATCTATGGAGCGACATAAGCCTGTCGATTTTTTATGAATGCAAAAAATATTATGTTCTAATTTACATTATATTATATTTTTATATTATTTATTAGAAACATTTCTTCAAAATGATTGAATACGGCTTATCGGGTGTAAAACAACCTAGCCATTTTTAACTACCTGGCCAGGCAGGCTTTTATTTTAAATCATATTTAATTATGCAACAAAAAAAAATTCATATTTACCGCATCGAAATCTGCTTCGTATTCAACTTCCATCGGCAATAGTTGATGATGAAGTCGCGGCCGGAGCATGACATCCGGTAGATCACTTCCTTCGAGGATTGTATGCATAACCGCCTAAAATGTTAAATGAATGTGTTATATTATATTACTAAAAATTAATTTGTATCTTAAATACCAACAGAGTGCGGTGCTCTCGGCAAATGTCGTATTCGGTAGGGTTGCCAACTATTTTTTGAGGAAAAAACGTATTTAATTCTTTGAATAAGAAAAAATTAATTATTTGCTAGAAAAAAATCTTTTTGTTTTTATTGAGCTTTTTATTTGAGCTTTTATTGATTTAAATACATATTTTTGTGCGAACTTTTCAAAACTAGTTTTAGTCTATTTTTCTCTTCTCGTCACTTCACTTTCATCACCGAAAAAACTCTTTTAGTGAAAGCGGAAGTTGCGGAAACAGAAAGTAAAAAAAGAAATATTACGGTTTTCAAATTTATTAATTTATCACACGCATTTTAAAGTAAGTATATATTGCCATTTTCAGTAGTGTTTTTCTACAAAAATTATTTGTCATTATTGGTAGATTTTCTTTGGCTTAAGTATTATTGACTCAGAATATAAATCATACATTTTAATATTTAATCTGTCTTGTAATTTAATGTTTGTAATTACTGTTTCAAAATTTTAAATTCAACTTCATAAGAAAGATATATTAGGTAGTGTTGCAAGCTCACTAAAATCTTCTTTTTTCAAGTAAATTATACTCGTATCAATAAAAAGTGAAAAAATATTGATAATTGTATTGACCATTTCGGGTAACTCAGATAACTTTTCAATTTTTGATTCATAACTATCAAACCGAAATACTTGTAATTTTTTTCCAATAAGTTTTTTAAATTGTCTATAATATTATACTCACCCAAAATGAAGTTTTATTATTTTATTAAACATACTCGGTTACATTGATATTTTGTGAGACAGGGAAATAGTCAAAATATGTCATATAAAGACAGCGAGCAAATAAAGATTTTGAGAAGGTTTCCTGCTTGCGACCTGTTCGTTATGTATTTTTACTTATTATGGGCCAGTGCTTGTTAACAATCTTTTTAGATTCATTATATTTTTATTACATAGCAGAAGACTGAGTGTACTTTTGACGAATAAAGCAGATTTTTCTTACCAAGGATACTTGAGTAGTAATTTTGGTGCCGCCCGCTGCGCCAAGTACAAGCCTCACGACGCCGTCCTCCGATAGCACGATGCTCGGCACCATGGAGCTGAGCGGCTGCAGGCCCGGCGCCAGCATGTTCGCCGGCGACGGCGGCAGCCCGTAAGCCGACTCTCGGTTCGGTATCGCAAAATCGTCCATCTCGTTATTCAACATTATACCGAGACTTCGTGATCGCCTCTGTGATCCCCATCTGAAAAACGTTGATTTAAAATAAAAAATGCTGAGTCGGCTAGAGAGACCTTAGGTGAAAGTTTATCCACCAAATTGACGATATATTGAACATGGGCGAAATTAACAATACTCTTAACCGACCGAGCATGTATGTGTTATATACACTGACTTCTATATATACAAGTAGTTAACTGAAAGTAAATGAGACGAAAGGACGTCATTGGTTCTCGAAAGCACTTTGTTCATTCTTAAAGCTGTCGCACCACTTCGGGACCTTCCAACCTCTTTCCAGAAGAGTTTGGAGTTTTCCCTAAAGTTGTGCGACAACCTCTCGTCCGCTTCTATTCTACACCTTTCACGTACTTCCTCAATCAATGTTTTCGCATGAACTTTCTGCAGCTTATATCTTTCTTTCATCTTCTCTCTCATATGCTCATCGTTACCAGAGGCCAAGTAGTCTAACCATGCTTTTTTCTTCTTTTTTACAGCTTCTTTCACTACATCATTCCACCATGCATCTCTTCTCTTACTACTACCTCTTTTTGTCGTTCCACATACTTCTTCCGCTGCACTTACCATTCCATCCCTAAGGTTCTGCCATGTTCTCTCCACACATTCTTTCCTGCCATCGATGGTGTCAAGCTTTTCGGCTACCCTCGTGTGATATTTGTCCCTAGTATCCGCTTCCTGAAGCTTCGGATGCGACAGACCAACTGTGGTTCTGTTACTGCCGTCCGGTAGCGCCAACCCGCGAACAAACCCCTAAATCTAGTAATTACTAGATAATGATCCGTTCCCAGGTCAGCACACCTGAACACTCGTGTATCCATCACCTGTTTTCGCAGTCGGTCATCCACCAGGAACAAATCAATCATACTTCTCTCATTCTTTCTTTCTCTAGTGTACATATGGATTTTCCTGTGATTAAACATAGTGTTTGTCACAAGAAGACCCTTTTCCTTGCATACAGCCAGTATAAGCTTGCCAGCATCATTAACCCTTTTATCGCCAAACTTTCCAAGCACCGACTCGTATCCTGGTCGAGCGATACCTACCCATCCATTCAAATCACCACATACAACAGTTCTTTCGTTTCCCTTAACCAAATCTAGAACTTCTCTTACATTCTCGCAAAACTCCTCCAGCTGAGCCCTGGACGACGAAGCTACCGGCGCATAAACAGCCAAAAGGAATAACTTCGTCAGTCCCAGTTTAAAGCGAACCCAGAGAAGTCTTGAGTTCACAACCTTGTATTCAGTCATAAGATCGACCAACCGGGACGACAACAGCACTCCCACTCCCTGGCAGGCGTTCTCGCTTTCCGGGACTCCGGACCATATAGCTAACGTCCCGCCAGGGAGCTCTTCAATACCATTGCCTTTCCCGTTTGGTCTCCGACATACACACGACATCTAATTCTCTTTTTTTCATTATTTCGATCAACTCATTCGTTTTATCTTTCATGCCCCCTCTAACATTCCACGTGACAACTCTGCACTCCGTCCTCCACCTTCCGCCGTGTCGGGCTGTGCGTGACGGGTGGCGGTCCCCATCGCCGCTTTGCGCGCTGCATTCCACACCAACGGGGACGAGCTGGTGTGCGTCGCCTTGGGGGGACGCCCTAACCCTCGTTTGCATGGGTGCGCAGCTGTGTAGAATTGCAGCCCTGAAAAGGGCTGGCAGGGGTCGCGACGAGCACGCTTCTACAATGACTTTCAGAAAAATCGGACGTCATGCAGCGATGGAGTGAATTTTATAGAGAAATGTATGCGTGTCATGATCTTAGTGAAGGATCCGGGGGTGACGCCGTGACTGGCACGCCAGACACGGACCTCGATGACACTGAGGTCATCAGCATGAAAGATATTGAACGTGCGATTCGAAGTTTGAAATGCGGTAAGGCTGCGGGACCAGACAGAGTTACTGCTGAAATGGTCAAGTACGGTGGGCCTCGCGTCTGGGACATCCTTCATCTGCTGTGCAATTTGTGCTGGCGGACGGGAGATGTCCCGGATGATTGGCGATCCGCGGTCATTGTGCCTTTATATAAAGGTAAAGGTTCACATTTTGACTGCGGGTGCTATTGGGCGATCAGCTTGACCAGTTTAGCAAGTAAAGTTTACTCGAAGGTTTTGACGCGCAGGATGCAAGAGAAATCGGAAAGATTCTTATGGGAGGCACAACGCGGATTTAGACCTGAAGAGGATGCACGGATCAAATGTTTTCTCTCCGCATGATCACGGAGAAGCTTCTGAGTGTTAACCAGAGGATATTCTGTGCTTTTGTGGATCTGGAGAAAGCATTTGATAAGGTTATAAGGAAGAAAATGTGGGAACTGTTGCCGGGATATGGTGTGGATGGTCGCTTGTTAAGGGCTGTGCAGTCACTTTACTATGACTGTAAAGCCTGTTTGCGGGTAGGGCATGACCTGTCACCCATGTTTAGCGTCCAAGCGGGCGTAAAACAGTCTTCCTGGCTGTTCATACTGTATCTCGACAGCTGTTTACAGAAGCTGAAAAATAGCTGTTTGGGTGTGAAATTGGGTGACATAAAAGTTAATTGTCTGCTCTATGCTGATGATGCAGTGCTTATTGCACCATCAGAAGCAGAACTGCAGGCATTAGTCACGTGTATGAAAGGGGAATGTGAAATTAAAGGTCTCCGTTTGAATGCTAATAAAACTAAGGTTCTGGTATTTGAAAAGGACGAAGAGAGAACGAAATGTGAAATATGGGTAAATCAGGAATGTCTAGAACAGGTAAATGAAATTGTATACTTGGGGAGTGCTTTCAGCCGGGATGGAAGATGTGATTTAGATGTGGATAGACGTGTCGCTGCCGCAAACAAAGTCAATGGTGCCCTGAATGCATTAGTAAAAAAGGCAAGGCGTGGTGAAGAGTGCACGCCTTGCAATACATAACGCAGTGTTGGTACCGACTTTGTTATATGGCAGCGAAACCTGGGTATGCCAGAAGAAGCATAAAAGCAAGTTGAATGCAGTGGAGATGCGATCTCTTCGTAAAATGTGTGGCGTTACCATAGCCGACCGAAAGCGAAACGAAGAGATTCGCAATATGGCAGGATTGAAAGATGACCTTATCACAAAAATTGATAGGGGCATACTCCAATGGTTTGGGCACGTTGAACGAATGAGTGAAGACCGAATGGTGAAGAAAATATATAGAGCGAAAGTAAATATTAAAAGGTGTCGAGGTAGACCGAGACTAACTTTCGAAGACCATGTGAGCAAATTGCTCGAAGAGGGGAGGGTCAAGAGTACTCGGATACCTAGACGTGCATGTATGAAGAAGTTAATGAACCTGAAAGAAGCGAAAGAGGTATGTAAGGATCGTGACACTTGGCGATCTGTTCTCTCTGGCTACCCCGTTAGGGATTGTGCGTGACGATAAGTAAGTAAGTAAGTAAGTAAGTATGAGACGAAAGAGGTGTGTCCGGATCGTGCCAAATGGATGCACATAGTCTCTGCCTACCCTTCTGTGTAATAGGTGTGAGTGTTTGTGTATTTAAAAAATATATTATGCTGTGTAGTGGTGGCGTAAGAATATTTCATATCACATCCCGTGGATATCGTCGGAGTATAACTGAACAGGATATGGACAGCAGTATTTTCCTTGTTACAACGGAAAATAATAAAAAACCATGATAAGCATGATAAGCGTGGCAACTATGGCAAAATATTCCCTATTAGGCAATCTGCGGGGAAGACTATGCGGACTAGTGTTGCCAGGTCTAGCAAGTATAATTTCGGGACGGAAGGTAAAAATAATCGGGAATTTGGTTCTCACACCGGGACAGCTACAATGGCTACAAAATACAGGTTTTTGTAGCCTATTTGTGCTTTATAATCATTATTCGGGTAAAATCTCATGAACGAATACCTTTCATCCAAACATAGTAAAAACTGCATTTTCTTCGTCTATGTTTTTTCGTTTTAGGCAAATCAAAACACTTTTGAACAATTTTTTTTTTGCAGTATCAGTCTCTTTGCAGTTTTTTTTTCGACTGGTGAGAAAAAATATTTCACAGTAAAAATATTTTAATGTAGGCTAAGAAGGTTAGTAAAAATCTGGACATTTGGCGTCCCGATCAAGGATGAATCGGAACGTTTCACCAGACCCCTGAAAATCGGGACACCTGGCAACACTAATGTGGACTGACAGCAGTGGTCTTATGATAATATAATATATAATATACTTAAGTTACAAAAACAATCTATATACGTCCTACTAGCTGGGCGCAGCTTCATCTCATTTCTAATGGTCGCCATACACGGTCACTTCAACTGATCATTCCAACTGATCGGTTCAAACTAGTACTGTTGATATTTTTTAAAATATCCAATTTTCGATATCTCGATAATTATAGATATATCAATATCGGAGTTTTATATATAAGTTTATTTATGGATATATCGAAAATTCAATCAACAGTTCTAGTTTAAACTGATCAGTTGGAATGATCAGTTGGAATGATCAGTTGAACTGACCGTGTGGGTCGTCCATTAGAGAATTATAGTGCAAATATAGTCCACTGCACGACTGCACCGCTCTAGTGCGTGTTGACTGATTTTATATGGTCTTAAAATATTTAATTGTATGCATGCAGCTTTCCTCACGATGCTTTTCTTCACTGCTGACGAGGTACATCGTGTTTTGATTGAATGGACAAGGACTGAGCCCCATAGGCCCGGTTACACGCTCAATCGTACTTGCACAAATTCTAATCTGTACAAGGAAGCATGTAAGTTAAGCTAGCAAAACGGTATACCGTACAAATAGCTTGCACAAATGCTTATTTTGCTCAAAATAAAGTTGTACAAGTGTGTGGACGCCACTCATGTTTTTTGCTAAAACTTTGTACAAAATGTTTGCATATGCAAGACATTATCGTGTGGACGTTGTGCAGTGTACCACGTTGTTGGCGTAAATTTTTTGGACAATTACTTTGCGCATGCATGTCGCTGCGTGTAGCCGTAGCTTAAGACAAAGGTCTTACATGTAATTAATGGTGCTTGTGGCTGACACGACGCTACCGTCCGGCGCAACTACAACAACATGAGCGGTGCCGTGGTCGTCAGCGCCTTCAAATAGAGCACCATAGTGTCGCCAGTCCGAAAATGTTCGATTGTCGTCTACCAAGGCGCGATGCGACTCCGCCCACTCTCGGGAAGACAGATTACGTTCTAACTGGAAAAGAACTTAAATTTTATACACTTATATATTTACCATGTTGGTGGATAAAACAATGAAATAAAAATACTAATTATGATCTTTTTCTCACTGATTGCGGCTAAGGCTTTAAGTCCCGAATCAAGTTGGAAACAGTAGGTAAACTGGACAGAATTGTATCTATGAAATGTCATTTTGTGTTAGAAAATTTAAATAAACAATATTTTATATTAAAAAAACGTAGCTAGTTTTTAGTTTAGTAGCTAATTTAATGGAAAATTATGCTGATGTCCTCGTTATCGAAGCTATCTGCGCCGGAATCGATTAACTCTTTAAAAGGGCGTCCCTTACTACTAATTCGGAATTGAAATTCTAATATTTATATAGATAAATCTAAAAGTTATTTTAATTTCGAAAAATAGAAGTCTGTTGGAGCACGGTCTTAAGAATATGGTGGATAATGGGGGGTCTTTAGTTCTGATAATTGATAATTTTGCCAATGTTTTTTGTCGTCAACTGTGCTTTACCTAGTTCGTGAGACCCATTTATCAAGTACACATTTTCTTTATATTACCGATGATCAGAGTTAGTTGTTTAGTAGTGAATAGCGCATATAGGTTTGTATATACGTCATTGATCTTGCTTGCCGTTTGAGACTCATTGTTCCCACGTAGCTTACATGAAAAATAATAAGTTTTTTCTTACACCTAAAGACTAAAATTCCTTTTTCTAAAGACCATGGTAATAAATTTAGTGATGCTGCAGAAAAAAAGAAATCCAAAAAAATATAAAAATTAATAACTTGTTTTGAAAATAAAAGAACCCAAGCCTGAAATATTTAAAGGAAGACAATCGTTTCCCACTAGAAATTTTAACGTAACTTAATGGTATTACACATAAAAAAGATATCAATTTATTAAAGCAAGAAAAAAAAAAGAATTGTTTTGATATTTGTGTTCTGGCTAAGGTAATATGAAAAAACCATGCGTATAACGAAGCATTTTGCAGTTTGTATAATAAAAAGATAAATAGCTATTTTTGAAAGCGATAAATTATTATATACATATATTATGTATTTGTATATTATATATTTATTACTAAAAAGAGATACCACTAAAACTTGTTTTTAATCGTATTACTAAAAGCTAATATCATATTATATGGTTCAAAGTGACCGTGGAACGAAACGTATTTTGTCATTGACCTCCAGGTACGGATGTTACTATACGGTGTTGACGCTCGTCACGTTGCTGCTTTTTTGTATTTATTTACTCATCAATCATCATCTTCATCTTATAGCCTGTATATTTTATTCCTTAGTAATCTTGGCTTTAATCATATTTCTTTAATTACTATAATGATGTTTGGGAATAATACTCACTAATCAATCAATACATATTATTAAAATATTTTTCACACCACGTTTGTTTATCTGTCACACTATGTTTTCTGGAACTACTGACAGGATTTTCATCAATCATAAAGTACCTATGAATGCTGATTTATATACAACTTCGTTTTATACTATTAATTTTTTGAACAGTGCACTATTTTCACCATTGACGCATTGTCTTATTTATTAATACACTATAAAGTATTAAACTTATATTTAAAACTAACTTAATTAAATGACATGGTGTAACAGAAAAAACTTCACCTCAGTGTCATTGGTTATATTTTTAATTTCTCATAGAAATGTAATTTCTGCATTTACGTCTCAAAATAATTATTTTGCGTTTGTCATTTTTTGTATCGGAAGCCAATCCCATTTCAAATGGTTTTCAATGACTTTACTACCATTGTACAAGCAAGCATCTTCTAAACTTACTCGCAACTTCGCTACAGTAGTGGGATTCACAGAAAAGATTAAAAAAGTTACATTTAACATTCGTGATTTATATACTTTAAGCAATTCTAAAAATGAAAATGTTACTAAATAATGAATTTAAAAATTAATGGTTCAATTATTTGAATATTTTTACCGATTACTCGCATTAGCATGAATTTGAATCATCCAAACACTATGGTCATATCGCTATACTCCTTGTATAGCGATATATCATTGAAACAACGTCAAGCGTAAAAGTTGATTCTTATTAAATTGAATATATTTTGCTTTGTTTGAAAGATTCGAGTTTAAATTAGTGACAAAAAACTATTCATGTGGTAATAACTTTATTCTTTGTATTTAAGTAAAAGGTTATTTTAAATCGTGTGAGTACCTACGCGTGTGCAAAGTTATTGCGGAATGATTAATGTGAAACGTCGAAAGGTATTTCTTGATTCTTAGATTAGTCTTTTAGTTGAGTTGGATCGGTTTAAGGAGATCAGTTTAACATAACGGCATTTTCATAGATAAAACTCGGATATAAAAATGTATTAAAAAAAAACGAACTTTATTTATGTAAAATGGAATTTCAAATGCAAGCTACGTTTGCATTTAAATCTCAGTAAAAAATCTAAACAGGTTGAATCGAAGATCGCCTTTACTTGTTGTCATTAAAGTAAAATGTACTGGCGTATACATTACTCCAATGGAATTGAATAGATATTTTTTATTCAATATAGATTACAAAAATACTTATTGAAAGTCATTTAAGTTTTACCATTGATACGGAAAAAAACCACTGTCCTGGGAAAAACCAGCAAGAAACCAAGTGGGACTTTTTTAAGCAATATTTTAGTGATTAAACCCAAATATTCGAAGTTAGGAAGGTGTTTGATGATAGACTTTTATATCTACAAGTTATTATAAAACAATCAAGACCTATTTATGTGGTTGCAGTTCGTTTAGGAAAGGTCCACTCAACAGTTTTTTTGCTACAAAACAGCAGTGTACCCACTGTGTTCCGATGTGACGTACTCTATTTCAGTCCATCTTTAAAAAACTGATTTATCTGTTTCTTGTATTCACGGAATAAACTAACCGTATTGCATAATTTACTCTTACAGATACAGTGGTCCCTACAATTTTAACCAATTGTGATGATAATTTAAGTCGTTATTTTTGTTACTCTATTATTTAAAAGGACATCGGCCATAATCATCATATTTAGAATGTAAACACATTAATTGAGCACTTGAAAGCAATTACCTCCTGGATGTCATACGGCAGGTTATAACGTGAAGGGTCGCCGAGGCCGGTTCGCTTCGCGTACGCGTATTTGAAGGTTTCTACGACGCGGTGCCAGTAAAGGTTGGAGGCGATGGGCACGTCGCTCCCGGGCCCGACCCAGCCGCGTAACATGTTGAGGATGAACGCCAACACCGAGCCTGATCCCGGCAGCGGCGCCGAGTACAACGTGTAGTCTTCTGTTATGGGCACCGCGATAGGTTCTTGCCATTCCACCCTATTTTAAAATACCATTAAAAAAAAGTGAAAAATACCTAAACACATTCCTACATGAGCCAGACTAATTGCAAATTTCACTTAAAAAATTCATATACAAGCAATTTATCTGGGGGCAAAAAAGCAAAAAAGCAAAAAAGCGGTACGGCCGTATAATACTTTTCTCGAAACAGTTCAGGCCATTTTCAGCCAGTTTCTTAATTTTATAATTTCGTTGTGGATAAAACTAGAAGCCTGAATTTCAGAATTTAGTAACTAAGCAGGCATTGTATAAACATGGTATATTTCAAACTTCATTCAAATTGAACCAGTAGTTTAAGAATTATAACTAGGCAAAGTTTCTTAATTTTGTCACTCACTGCACTGACTGGCTGACCGATCATCAAACCTGTAAGGCACTTTTAGCAAACATAGAAGCTTCAAATTTAGAATACAATTAGTGTTTAGTGTATAAATCAAGTAAAAACTAAAATATTTTTCAATTTCGGTCCAGTTTTCAAGATACACCAACTACATAAATAACTTTGTAATCCCATATAAATATATAGGTTTACAAAGTTACATTTACAGTGAATTAATCAGTGTACCTGTATAATATGTATAGATTGAGATTTGATTGAGAGCTACGTTGTTGGTATTCAAGAAGTAGATGGTACCGAAAAGGAAAAAAAGTAAGACTAACTACAAAAGACTAACTTTGGGCGGGTATTAGTCTACTCCTAACTTTTTGATATTATTAATAGGACTAGATTAACACCTATTCTGCTCTCCTGTCCGGCGAGCAGTTTGGCGTATGGCTCTGGGGGAGAGCGCAGGTCGTGTTGATCCCCAGGGCAAGTCTGAGGAGTTCTCCTTCACGTGGTTGCCGCCTGTTATTTGGTCTGGTTTAATAGGAAACAGACAGAACAGAAACACTCGGACGATCCCCTTTTTCTTTTCTTTTATCCCTCCCTCTTTTACTATCCTAACCCAATCCAAGGTGTCAAGCGTACCGTGCCGATGGAGGCGTGGCTGGAGGGAGTCCAGTCGCAAACGGTGTCTACCCGAGACCAGGGCCGATTCGGGTACTATTTTAGCCCTTCCCTCGGCATGCGGGGCTCTGCCGGGGGTGACCAAGTATTTCCCTAGCTATTCGTGGGAACAAAATGGATGAAAACCGACATTTTGTAAAAGATAATGAGAAGTCTCCTTTAATGGAATTAGCTGCAGGTTTGGAAGAGGCTCTTTTAGCCTCACCAATACCCTGCAACAGTGCGCGCCAACCTGGGACGAGCCGTGAAGTGGAGGGCACGTTTGTAGCCGAATCACAATCAGAAACGAACCAGGGAGGGGAAAAGAAAAGTTCGCTAGGCCTTATAAGCTTAGTGGGGCAGCGAGGAAAAGGTACCGAAGGCTGATAGCAGCTGAGATTGAAGCCGAAGAGGCCCTCTCTCTCTCTGCCAGAAGCCTTGGGACGAAATTCCTCTGCCCAAGCCTCCCCCAGTTCCGAAGGCGAAAAAACGCAGTCGGTCTGAGGAAGAGTCCCCCAAAGACCAGCCCAGGAAGACTGTGAAGCTGGCAACGGAGGAGAAAAAGCTCAGCTTCAATGCCGTAGCTGGCTCCGCGCGTATAGGAATTCGCAATTCGAATCCTATGAGTGTGGAGCAGATGCGGCTGGTCCACCGGGCACTAATACAGGCCATCGCTAAGACGGCCTGTGGGTCGAAACTGGGAATGGGCCCAAAATTTTCGGGTTTCACGCACAAGCCAGGTTGGATTCTGGTAACGTGCCTGTATAAGGCAAGCCAGGACTGGATTGTGGGTGAAATCGGAAAACTAAAACCCTGGCCGGAGGCAGAGCTCTCGGTAATACCCGAGGGCGAACTGCCTAAGCCTCAGCTGGGCATTACCTACTTGCCCCGCAGCGAAGCCGACTCACCAGAGGAGGCGGCTGTGCTGTTGAGGGCACAAAATGTAGGGCTCCATACTGAGCTCTGGAGAATCCTCCACCGTAGGGACGAGGAGAATGGGTTCCTAGTAACCTTTTCTCTGGACGACCTATCGGCGGAGGCTCTTCGAAAGGCAGGCGGCAGAGTCATCCTCGGCTTTAAGATGATAACTTTTAAAGTCAAGGGAGGCTCTGACGTGGCAATGGAGCCCGAACCGCCCAACCCAACCCCAATCCCCCCAGCCCTCCACCTATCGGGGTGAGGCTGGAACGCCACCGGTGAGAGTGACGAAGACCCAAGGCGCAGATTTCGCCTCGGTCCGACGGCGTCCGCTGGTGTCGTCCAGGCCCGGAGGGAGGGGAGGTGGGAGCGGTTCGACGAAAGGTAAGGCTGGGGTCAAGTTCGCAGCCAAAGGACGTCCTCGTCCTCAACAAGCGGAAAAGACCCCTACCCTACCCAAGGTTAAGACGAGGGTCCTCCAAGCAAATCTTCACCATGCAGCAGCTGCTTCTGCCGTGGTGGAGGTTTGCTTTGCAGAGGACAACATTGACCTCGCCCTTATACAAGAGCCTTGGGTGGCCAACGGTCAATTTCTGGGATTGTCGGCTGCCGGTAAGATTCTTGTCAATACCAAAGGCAGTAGACCCAGAGCTTGTATAATTTATAATAAAAATATTGAACTTTTAGCTGTTCCAGAGTACTGCAATGATGACCTGGTTACAGCCTTCATAAATCTCAAAGGATGCACAGGGGTCAGAGTAATCATTTGCTTAGCCTATCTTCCCGGCGAGAACGCAGATCGTACCATCGAGTTAGAGCGAGTGGCGGAGTTCGCCCGAAATAATAATGCTCACCACACAGCCTGGGGAAGCACCAACATCAACGAAGGAGGTGAGTTACTTTATGATTTTTTCATCTCCAACAGCCTGGTAAGCCTAGCCTAAACTTTGGTTGTACACCAACCTTTGTAACGCGTGCTGGGCAAGAAGTGTTAGACATAACCTTTGCTACCAATAACATGTCCAGGCGGATAAATGACTAGCATGTTAGTAGCGAAAACTCGATGTCTGACCACAAGCACATTAAGTTTGTGATTGGAGCATCACCAACCTTTGAAACCGTTACTTTTAGGGATCCGAAAGCGACCTCCTGGGATATCTACAGAGATAGCCTAAGGAGGAATTTGGAAACGTTTCCTAAAAGCATCAAAACAATTGAAGGTCTGGAGTTAGCGACGGAGACAGTAACCGTAGGTATCCGTGAAGCCTTCGAGGACAGTTGTCCCGTCAAAACCAAGACCTCAACGCGAAAAGTTTCTTGGTGGAATACTAAGCTGAAAGATCTTAGGGAAAAGACCAGGAAACTATTTAATAGGGCTAAGAAAATCAAAGAGTGGGATATTTATAGTGCAGCCCTAACTGAGTATAATAAAGAAATCAGGAAAGCCAAGAGAGCATCGTGGAGGAAGCTACGCGAGGAAGTTGAGTCTTTGCCTCGCAGTGCAAGACTACACAAGATGCTATCGAAAGCTAAACCTAATCAGATCGGGCTTCTTAAAAAGCCGGATGGTAACTAATAGTGAAACAGAAACATTGGAGTTACTAGCGTCAACCCATTTACCAGGGTCATACAAGACTTCAGCCTTGAACTCTTTCAGAGCCCTACAAAGGCCTTGCAATGAGTACCGGCGTAGGGCTGCAATGATAATAAGGCCAAACATGGTGCAGTGGGCTGTTGACTCTTGAACATTTAAATCAAGCGGGGAGGATGGAATAATTCCCATCCAACTACAGAAGGGTGTCGACATCCTTCTTCCTTATCTGGTGAAAATCTTCAGAGCAAGTTTTGCATGGGGATATATTCCAGAACGATGGACAATTGTCAAGGTTCTATTTATACCTAAGTCTGGTAGAAAGGACTACGCTTTACCAAAGTCCTTTAGACCTATATGCCTATCTTCCTTTCTTCTTAAGACATTGAAAAAGGTTATAGATAGACATATAAGGGATGTAGCTCTAGCTACGAGGCCCATACATTACAACCAGCATGCTTACCGCAGAGGCAAATCTACGGAAACAGCCCTGATCAGTGTCATTGACAGGGTCGAAAAAGCACTGGAGGATAAAGAAATAGCTCTTTGTGCCTTTCTAGATATTGAGGGCGCCTTCGACAATAGCCCCACATCACTGCTGATTGGGGGCCTAACATCTAAAAATATTGACCCCACAACCATCAGATGGGTGAAGTCGATGCTCTCAAACAGAAAGGCAAAAATAGCGCTGTTTCAAACTTCGATTGAGGTTGCAACCACAAGAGGCTGCCCACAAGGAGGTGTTTTGTCACCCCTTCTTTGGACTCTTGCGGTTGACCAACTATTGTGCAAAATGGCAGACCTACGCATTGACACATTGGGTTATGCTGATGACCTTGTGATCATTGCGAGGGGATTTTGCCAAAGTACTTTATCGTCAATAATACAAAGAGCCCTAAACACCATAAATAACTGGTGTAGTGATAACAGTTTATCAGTTAATGCTGATAAAACTGTTATAATACCATTATTTACGGATTTTATCGCGTTTAATTACTATTAATTTATTTTTATTATTATCCCGACGTTTCGGGTGCTTTACAGCACCCATGGTCACGGGGGGGGGGGACTGAGATGTTTGACGTCCCAATGACGTAGATCAAACAAAGAGATCTATAATAACCCGCGTGAAGGAACATATAGCTGATGTGAAGCACCGACGCTCCGGGAAGTCTGCAGTCTGCGAACATGTTCAAGATCGTCTCCACCATTACATTAGATTTGATAAACCACAAATTCTCGCAAAAGAACACCGATTCCTATCAAGGATAATACGCGAGGCTATTGAAATTAAAAAACATCCAAATTTCAATAGAGAAGATGGTTGGGTGCTACCATCTGCTTGGGATTCTATAATTAACAAAATTAAACCCAAACCCAAGCATACCACTGCAAGACTTCATGATACTATAAGCTCGTTTTGCGTAAATCGGACCAAAAAAAATTAATATAAAAAAAAAAATGAAGGTAGCCGGACTAACTATGACATTGGGACGTCAAACATCTCAGTCCCCCCCGTGACCATGGTGCTGTAAAGCACCAGTGGGATAATAATAAATAAATTTAGTATAACGATTTTTTCATTATGTTATAATACCCTTACGGACAAATAGTCCAACCAAAGCTTTATGGTAAAGAAGTACCATTTTCCACGGAAGTTAAGTACTTGGGCGTAACAATCGACCAAAAACTAACGTGGAACTCTCACCTTAGCAACGTATGCCATAAGGCAAAAATTGCTTTAGGTACGTGCAGTCGTTTGGTCGGGAACAACTGGGGCTTGCGTCCCAGTATGGTCCTATGGCTATACAGCAGTAAAGTGAGGCCAACCAAAAGACGACTGCGGACAGACTAAATAGTCTACAAAGGACTGCCTGCCTAATGGCAACTGGAGCTATGCGATCATCGCCTGGAGCGGCTCTTAATGCACTTCTATGCCTAACGCCCCTTGATCTCTATCTAGACAAGGAGGCGAGGGCTAGTTTGTATAGGATTAACGCCCGGGGCGGTCTGAGCTTGCTCTCCTACAGATTGAGATCCATGCTCGACTCAATTGAGGAATCACCGGTCTTATGCATGATCTCAGATATCATGCATCCACTACATACTTTTAATAAAAAGTATATAGTGGAATTACCCTTTAGAAAAGACTGGCTGAATGGCCAGGTTATCTGTGAGGTCGGTAGCCTCATATGGTATACCGATGGGTCTAAAATGGGCCTCGACGTAAGCTTTGGAATTTACGGGGAACGCCCCAAATTCAAACTTAGTATGAATTTGGGTAGATACACCTCTATTTTCCAGGCAGAAATTTCTTCGGTGTGCGGAAGGAAATCAATCTGCAAAAACACTACGTCAACCATAAAATTTACATAAACTCTGATAGTCAAGCAGCACTGCTAGCGCTGAGATCAAACTTAGTGAACTCAAAGCTAGTTGGAGACTGCGTGAACCGTTTAAACGCCCTGGGTTGTAACAACAGGGTCGTTTTAAGATGGGTTCCGGGTCACGAGGGTATTGTAGGCAACGAATTTGCCGACAAACTTGCACGGGAGGGCTCAAAGTGTACACAACTTGGACCCGAGCCATTTTGTGGAATCTCAAGAAGCCTAGCCCGATTGACCCTTGAAACTCCTTATCACAATAAATCACTTAAGATCTGGTCTTACACACCAGGCTTAAAACATTCCAAAACCTTAATCCGGGCCTTTCGTAAATTCGCTTCAGAAGCCCTGGGATTAAATAAAAATAAATTGCGCAATCTGGCAAGAGCTCTAACTGGACACTGTTGTCTTAAAAAGCACATGTCCATCCTGGGACTAAGCAACTCAAGGATGTGTCGGTTCTGTTCCATAACGGAAGAAACGCCTCTACACATCCTAACCGATTGCGAACCCTTAATGCGCAAACGTAATACTCATCTGGGACACTATCTTCTCCGCCCAGAAGAAGTGAAATTGCTCACGGCTAAGCAACTCCTTCGATTCATTGAAGACATAGGGCTTAGCAGTGAACTATAGCCATAGCACAATAACAGATCTTTTAGACGGCAGTGATACTAGTCTCTTTACCTAGACCTGCGTAGCTGCTCGCATATAATAATAAAAAAAGACTAACTACAAAAAGAAATGAGATGCCATCAACTAACTGTAACTGTTTTAAGCGCAGCGGTCAAGTGGAAAGAGCTGACACTAGGGTTCCTCGGTCCAGAGATGAGAACAGTATTCCATGTGAGGCCAAACTTGCAAACAATGTGCCGACATGAAATACTGTCTCACTCTGCTGAGCATGCCAAGCTTTTTAGAGGCCAATTTGGCCTTACCCTCCAAGTGACTACGGAACTGCACACTATTCGATATGTCGACGCCGAGGATTCCGATGATAGCTGAGACAGCAAAGGGAGTCTTGAAACTGAGGAGATACGACAAAGGGGTTCTTTTTAGCAGTAAATGCGCAAACTTGTGTCTTCTGAGGATTGAATTGGAGTAGATTTAGTCACTCCCAATCCGAGAATTTGTTCAGCAAAGACTCTACTACATAAGTACCGGTACTCGGCGACGATTTCCCAAGAAATGTTGGCACGGCCGGTTCACAAGGCATCACCAGTGCATGACATCTGCATAGTAATGAATGTTACCAGTTTGCAACGTACCTTAATATGCAGAAGAAACAGCGTTGGTGATAGTACGCAGCCTTGTAGAACACCGGTGTTAATAAGCTTGGTATCAGAGAATGCACCGTCTACTACTACCTTTATGCTCCAATCAGCAAGGAAACTGGTGATCCAATTGCACAATTTCTCGGGAAGCCCATAGAAAGGAAGCTACGAAAGAAGTGGTTTGTGCCAGACCCGATCAAAGGCCTTCACTATTTCCAAACTAACGCCGAATGCCTTCCCCATGAACTCTTCTGCCTCCGCCCATCTATTAGTCAGGTAGACCAGAAGATTACTACTAGCTGATCGACCATGACGAAAACCGTATTGGCGGTCACTAATCAGCTGGTGATACTTAAGGTACCTCATAAGCTGGCAGTTTACTACGTACACCATTGTTTTGGAGAACAAGAAAGTGATGGCAATAGGCCTATAGTTGGACGGATCTGGGCGCTCGCCTTTTTTAGGAATCGGGAGGACCAAAGCTGTCTTCCATGAATTTGGGACTACGTCTTGGGAGTAGGAGTACCGGAATGGACGCGCTAAAACCTGTGCGAACTCCGAAGCATACGTTTTCAGCACAATAGGAGGGACTCCATCAGGCCCACTCGATTTGCTGGCATCCAGGGAGAGGAGTGCTTTGCAAACCGAGCGCTGTGTAAACCGCACATACTGCATGGAGCACTCACACCGTGGAATGGTCGGTGGTGTGTTCCCCCCGTCATCTAGAGTTGAGTTGGACGCAAAGAAGGACCCAAACAGATTGGCTTTCTCCTTTGCGGCATGAGCCAGTGAGTCGTCCTCTCTGTGCAGCTATGGAAGAGATGACTGGCAGATGTTCTCTTGGACAGTCTTAGTGAGAGACCAGAATGCACGGGTTCCCGAAGGATGGTGAACTAGTATCTCGCCAATTCTGCCGACGTTTTCAGACCTTGTCTTGGCAATGACTCTTTGAAGGACCTGGAGGCGGAATTAAACTTCCTTTTAAGAGCGCTGGTGTTTACATCCCGAGATCTTGATGAGACAACCCAGACCCGGTAGCACTTCCGCTTATAGCATGATGCTATTTTACAGGAGGATTAAACCATGGCTGTGATCTGCCTCCCACGGGCACCACAGAGGATGGAATAAAAAGTTCTATACCCTGAAGTACATCAGCGATAGAATCAGACACAACGCTGGGATCATCCGACGAGAAACAAACCCAAGGGTAGGATGCAAAAAACGACCGCATCTTATCCCAATCAGCCGACCTATAGTGCCAAACACGGCGGTAGCCTCTAAAATGCAACCTCGATTTCAGCGTGAGTGCCCCCACACTCCGGACTAGCCAATGGTCCGACGAACCTAGAGGGGCGTCGACGGAAACCTGATATCCGTCCAGATGAGAGGTCAGCAGAAGGTCCAACGGGGAAGATGTATGATCTTCCACATCTGGAATCCACGTAGGCGATGTCATCAGTTGTGTCGGACCATATGCCAAGGCAAAGTCGTAAACAGATCTCCCAGCATGATCGGTAAAACCTGAACCGAGCCGTTCGGCATGGTTGGCGCTAAAATCGCCAAGGATCACGATCTCTGCGGATGGGATCCGCTGTAGCACGGAGTCTGTAGCCAATTGGACGTGGTCGATGAGTCGGTCTGTTTCGGCATTACCGCTATGGGTCCTATAGAGGCACTCGTAGACGCGGTGATGGTCGTCGCTATCTACGCGCAGCCATGGATGGACAGGTCCGTATCTTCAAGACTGCCGAGGTTTCGAAAACAGATGTCCTCTCTGACGTAGGTATACGCTAACTCCAGCCCGGGGTACAAAGGAATGTTCTAATTTGTTCCCCGGGTAGGAGAGATTAGAAGTCATTTTATACATTATTTGTTTCTTTACCAATTTGAGATTAGCTGGAGAGGACACCTGAATCTCGGTTAAAAAGAGCACGACCGGCTTCGCTGACTTCAGATAGTAGTGGACAGCTTTGAGGTTGGAATGAAGTCCCCTGATGTTGAAAAAATTAACGGATAGCGCGGCAGAGGTCGTCTTGTTTTCGTTGCTCCGCTTGCCCCGAGCAGTTTTAATCGCGAGCGGAATTGCGCCCTCTCCCTCCCCAAAATACGTGAGGCAGCCTGAGCACCCACGCTCAGGAAGAGTAGGGTAATTTGGTCGTGGATGCTCAGCGAGAGATTCACCGTCGCTAGGGGTGCTGGTAACCATCTAGGGTAGTTTATTAATTGATTCCGCGGCCCATCCGTGCGACAGCAAAAGCTGCCGCGTGGCCTTACAACTGTTGATATTATATAACACACACTTGGCAAATTGTTATATATCACAGCCGTGAGCATTAGTAGCGGAGCGTACTTATTGCTACTTAGCATAACCCTCTCAGAAACTCATAACCTCAGATTTTTATGGCTGCAACTTTACATTTACTTTAACTTGACATTAGAATAGCTAAGTGACGAGCTCTTTAATTTGTTTTAAAGGTTATTGACACATGCATCTTTGATGGCATATTACAAAATATAAAAAGGTCGTAATTTATACCTGTAATTCCTGAGATCGTCTTCCGTGATGATTCCGCCGAACGCTTGGATATCTCTGACGAGCGCGGCCGTAAGCGAACCGTTGTGAATCGCCTCCGGGCCCTCTTCGGCGATCACGTCCAACGTTTGTGCCAGGGTTGGTTCGCGAATGTAATCGCCCTCGTTCCACACCTCCCCCGTTTCCGGATTCACGTATATTTCCCTAAAATGTAAATGTAAAAGCATCGTATCGTAAAAATATTAGCTCTATTATCCAGGGAGAAAATAGAGAAATACTAGCTTGCCAGACTGACGTTGTTCTGCCCTTTTCGACGACCCTTTGTCATGTCCTATTAAAATTCCTTAAATTCACAAAAAAAAATTGTGGGTGGACATGGACAAAAAACTATCCTATTTCTCAAGTTGGACCAAACTGCACGCGGTGTGCAAATTTGATTAAAATCGGTTAAGCAGTTTAGGAGTCCATCGCGGACAAATAACGTGACACGTAATTTATATATATTAAAATTTTTGTATGGCTTATACGCTGCCCAAATAAAGCTAGTCATAAATCTGAAGATTGATGACTCTTAATATTTATTGACTTCTTTAGCTTGTTATGCAGTTCTTGAAATAGGCTTCGCAGTGTCAGAAGTCTCCATGGTGTCCCACAGAGTCCATCCATCCAACGGAATGTCATAATTGCTACACTTAGTTGGCGGATTCCCCCCACCCTCCCCCCGTTCTGACGGGAAGATAGAGAAAAGATATTTCTACTTTGTTTGGATGCGTGCACACCGCAAATGTTTGTTCAAAACAGTACTTCATTCCTTATATAGGTCGGAAAACGTCATCATTCAAAAGAATCACAGTTCAAGTTCACCTTTATTATATACTGGTGTTTTGCCTGAGACTTTGTCCGCGTAACAGTCGGAGATAATATATTTGTTGCTACAACCCAACACTGAATGTCATGATTTCAAGAATTTCTGTTTGCCAGTTCAAATTTCTTATGACATTACGCTAATAATAAGCGTTGAAAGTCGATCGAATGCAGAGAGCTAAGAATCAGAACCGTATTTTGTGGATTCCTTGGCAGAGGCCTGTTTCCAGCAGCGGATCTGTTATTAGCTGTAATGATTAGGATCATGACACTTATAAACAAAGTGTATTTATAATTGAACATTCTGTTCCGTTCAATTATTAATTATATATGTTACAGTCAAAACTCATCACCGGTCAAAACCACTTTTGACTGCAAAAAACAGACAAATAAAAGTCCACACAACGTTCTTAACCAAAACTACTTTTTACTTGTATATTTTTTATGTACACATACTTACTCGAATGATAAGGCTATTTGTGTCTATAAAATATTCACAAATCTTGGATTATCGGTGACAGTAGATTAAAGTGCGGCTGGGGTGACTCTTGGGCCACCCTAAAGCCTACAATGATATACCTAATCGTTTACCATATATTAAAAGAATTGAACTAGAATATTGGTCAAATCACATAACTGAGAACGTAGGTAAAACCATTTTTGGCTACGAAAATCGGTCAAAACAGTTTTTGACTAAGTGCTTCGGTCAAAACCATTTTTGCCTAATTTTCGCAGTCAAAAATGGTTTTGACCGGTTATGAGTTTTGACTGTAACATATTAATGTCCTCCAGACCGAATTTCGGTCACAGCGGCGTGCCTCAACAAACACTAGCCACCGACGCAAGACAGGATTATCGTGCCCAAGTGTGCATTGCTCTATTTCCTCACTTTCATAATCTGATGGGACGGTAAACCGACACGACCGTAGAGAGATCAGGCGCAGGACCAACGGTTTTACGTGCTTTCCGAGGCACGGGGGGGAGAAACCGCCAACTTCCTGACTCCGGGCAGGTACTGAGGATTTCTCGACAAAAAAAGTCAATAATTAATTTTTTTGGCCCGACCCGGGATTCGAACCCAGGACCTCATGATCAGCATTCGCAGTACTACAACTACTAGACCAACGAGGCAGTCATACATAGTATAACATAATATAATAGTACACAGAGAAGTTGTTAGAAATACTAAAATAGTTTTGTATTATTTTTGGTTACAAATAATTATTGTTATTTAGTTATTTTATTTATTATATAATATTGTTTAATGCCATCAAAACATAACTTGTAAAAAGAACAAAGTCTTGCAATTCAGTTCCTCTACCGTAAAAGTTGTGAGATCTATGTAATACCAAGTCGGTTAATTTATTCAGTCCCTTTTTAAGGGTCCTTCTGTTTTAAGTTATTACGTAATTAGCTAATCTACAACATCTTATAGTAACCATATCAATGTTAAAAATCGTTTATGTTATAAATAAAGAGAGATTGACTTGGCCATCGCATGAAAACACAATGTATCTTACAAGTAATTAGATTGTTTAGACTGCTGTGCCCCAAGATTATTTATATTATCAGGTGCCCTACATTATAAAACCCATAGTGTAAGTGATGGTCTCAAACACAGGTACTCAACCTAGTTCAGGCAGGTAGCTAATATTATAAACTTGAGTTTTCAATTTTTCTTTTGTAGATTCTACATTATTAAGCTACACACACTTTCAATTTTTATTATTGCATGTTATTTTAATTTGACTTATTGTTACTTTCTTTAATTGAATAATATAAATATATGTTACTTTCTTTAATTGAAATATATCATAATTGTTCCTGTATGTAAACATGTGTTTGGAAATGAAATAAAAAAGTATATACGAAACTGAACGGTATAAGTGTTACAATAAAAAGTGGGTAGGTATGCTATGTATTTTTCTGAGTTCATTTTAATGATTTCATTAAAAAGGTGTAGTTACATAAATACAAAAGATCTTTCAAAAAAAAACATTTCAAAAGAATTTTTCGGTATAAAAATAACATATTATGCACTCTTCGGTTCATAAACTACGTAATATCTATTGGTTGGGCTGAAAAGTTCGTATCGTCTCTATGAGATGGCGCCACTAGAATAAAATCCATATCATTTTTAGGTAGTACCAACCTTCAAAAGAAACGTGTATAAATTTGACAGTTGTCTGATTATTAGTTTGTGAGATACAGCATTTTGAGTGAAGCAACCTTTGTTATTTTGAAAAAAATGGATAAAAAAGGAATTTCGTGTTTTAATGAAACACTATTTTTTGATGAAAAAAAGTGCTGCTGATACCAAAAAGTGGCTTGATGAGTGTTATCCGGACTCTGCGCCGCGCGAATTTTGCCAAAAAAATGTGTTTTTCTATAAAACGATACGAACTTTTCAGCCCAACTGTTATACGTAAAAATCGTTCTACCTAGTATGTCAAAGAACTACAAAACCAACCAACACACTTTTGCGTATAAAGTATATCAATGTTAAAAATCGTTTAAATATTAGGGATTAAATTATGGATTTATTTTAGGTGCTTAATAAAAAAAAGGCAGTGAAGCATCCACCAACCTCATAGAAGGTTCTGCTTTGATCCTGTCGCTGTAAGACCGGAGCACGCGGCCCATGTATTCGTTGACTCGGTGACCTTCGCGGCATAGTTCTGCTGCTGGTTTCACTAACTCGTCCCACGGGAGGCGTCCGTATACCCGGTGGAGCTCGCCGTAACCTCTGAGCTCTCCGGGCACGGCGATGGCCAAGCCTCCCACTATGGAGGACTTGTTGTCGTACATGTTCTCGTAAGTAGCCGCTGGCGCCCTCTCTCTCGCGTTGATCACGCGAACCTGGCCCGTGGATGCGTCGTACACCGTGGCCAAAAACCCGCCACCGAGCCCCATACATTGTGCGCAGCCCAAGCCCTCGCAAAATAAAGTTGCTATCGCCGCATCCACGGCAGAACCATTTCTCTCGAGTATTTCACTGTAATTCATAAAATCAAATAGTTTAATTTCATCACATAACGCCAACCAACGGAACAATATTTAAGCGTATTCTCTACCGCACATAATAATATGTGTAAAAAATTCTTTTTACAATTTATAATGAACTTTTAGATTTAAGATGAATGAAATCTTACGAAAGAATGAAAGTTTTACAACTTAAATTGTTTATTACAGTATATCAAAAGTCCTTTGCTAGGTGTCCACCATAGATTGCGTCATCATCATTCATTAATCATTCATTCATCATTCATTCATCATTCATTCATTCATCATTCATTCATCACTCAATCATCATTCATTCATCATTAATTAATTACAGCCCTTCACAAGTCCACTGCTGAACATAGGCCTCCCCCAAGTAATGCCACAAAGCACGGTCCTGAGCCACTTGCATCCATCGACTCTCAGCATGTCACCGTTGCCAGAAATAGCGGAGCCGCCGGTGACTGGGGGCCGTTTACATGTTGCTAATGGGGGTATATTACCATAGTTGGCACGCTTGGCGAGCGGGTTGGCAACCGCAATGATTGCACCATGGATACGGATACTTGCAATAGTTGCCACGCTTAACAGGCGGGTGGGCACCAGCAGTTGTTTATTATTTAAGCTGTCATCATGAAGATGCTGCTACCCACTTCCTGTTTTAGTTTCCCTCTGTTGCCAATTACGACACGCAAGGGATAACATGGGGTGATGGATTATCTAACTTCACCACAATACGGCTAAGTTGGCTAAAAAGTTATAGTTTGTTTCAATGATTTGCATGGATATCGTTAAATAGCATCCTTAAAATAATTGCAATAGTTCTAAGGAGATTGCACCATACTGTTATACGAAACACGGCAGTTTAATGCAACATAGTGCTGTTGTGTTTCGTCCTATGCTTGAAGAGAAACTGGGAGAGAATAAGTAATCAAACCCGAATAAATAAATAATAGTTTCCTTTTAATATACATATTAAGATAAGATTCGACAGCCGATAACAAAGGCTCGCTAGCTGATGATTCCATAACTGATATATTCGAAGTTTTTAACTGACATTGCGAGTTATTCCGTTTATACACCCTAACAAATCCACCTTAGGTTGGATACTCGGAAGCTCGGCTCTCCATTGTGACTCAATCCTTTGTGTGTAAGTCCTGTCTGGAACCACAATTGGATTGTCAGGGTCGGAATGGTTGACTTTTTGTGGGTCTACCTATGTTCCGCTAGGCAGTTATTTGCTCTCCATTAATCTGTGTGAATTGTGGTGCCCATTTTACGCACTTTGACAGATGCAACTTAAAAAACGTTAAGTTCCGTTTCAGGTATTAATTAGTTTAGAATTGCGGCAGCTAAATTGCATGGGGGCGCTTGAGATAAGCCCTCTTGACCCCCCACAGTGGCAGAATCCTCAAATTCAGGCGACTTGTTATTAAGCCCAACTCTTGATGTCATTATATTTCAATATTTACATAATTTTTACCTACCTATGTACTTTAATATTGACAAGTTTTTACATTATATTTATTATATCTTAATATCCGAAATAGTGAAGAAACAGATGAGTTTTAATTGTTTTAGTACTTTATTACTTATAATCCTCTACCTTTAAACGAGCAATTCTAGTTTAGGTATATATAATCGGAATCTCAGAAACGGCTCCAACGATTTTCATAAAATTTAGTGTCCAGGGAGTTTCGGGGGCAATAAATCGATCTAGCTAGGATTCATTTTTAGAAAATGTCTTTTTGTGCGTGTTTTCAGGCAATAAAAAACTGCTACAATATAAGAAGGTAAATTTTGACACTGTGTTAATGATTGTAACAGCTCAAGTGGATATCGGGCGGTCGCGAAGTCGTAATTCCTTGGTTCCTTTTTTTCAAGTTCCCTTCTTTTGTGAGAAAATTTATTATTTCGAGCCCTTTTTTTAGTATTTTTTTAAAAATACGTAAATTTTAATTAAACTAATTGCACTCATGATTTTTTATTCAAATAACCAGTTCAGTTTTTTCTATTGTGTCAATAAGATCAAAAAATATTATTCATGTTTCATCAGTATGTAATTTGTATCTAAATATAATTTCCAAAACAACGATTTACAAAAAAAAAAAAAATACCGAGGAAAGCTCGGTCACCCAGGTGCTGAATACTTACCGTCCAATGGAAGCGCATTCGTAGCCATTAGCGGCGACGGCGGCGCGCAGATAGCGCGGATGGTCCCTGCTGTTCCACGGCTGGAGCACCAGCAAGGCGACCAGCGCGCCCGCCACCACCGCCGCCAACACGCTGATACCCCAACGAAACTGCGATCGCCACACACTACCGAGAAACCGCAGTGTTTTCTATATAATCGGAAAAGACACGTCTTTTGCCTAACAACGAGTTAGTCATTCGATATTTATTTTATTATTTAAAAAACATTAGACTAGAATTGTAAAAATCACAACAAATTTGCAAGCGAACTTTTATTTGTCAATGATTATGTAATGAAGTTCTGTCATTGGCGTAATGTCACGTCATATAAAACGTGACCAAAATGATTTTCTTTATAAATGACTGCCTGCATTGTTTTCAGTTGTTTGTATCACAATTACCACATTGTCTTGTGTAGATACTATTACATCTATAACTGTTTATTTTGCTTAGCAAACCAGCAAGGCAAGTGTAATATTGTTTCACATATTTGGCCACTGAGCAAAAATTTAAATAGTTCGGCACACTCAGATTTTCAAATGTTTCGGTCTCTTCAGAATTTTTTAGGTAGTGTTAGGTTAACATCAAGAGAGGACTGTCAAAACTACTAGTCGCATTGTTTTGAACAAAAATCCCAAGATTTCTACAGCAACCGGATTACATCACTACCTAAAAGATGTCGAACACTGCATTTTTTTATAGGAGAGGAGACAAACGAACATACGAGTACGGCTCATCTGATGGTAAGTGATTACCGTGGCCCGTGAACAACTGCAACACTTAGAGTAGGCTCTTTTCTTGAAGGTCCCTAAGTCGTGTCGGTCCGGAAAATCTCTGGTGGTAGTCGATTCCACGAGGAAGTTGTGCGAGGAAGAAAACTTCTTTTAAATCGTACAGTGGTGGACCGCCAGTCATCCAGATGGTATGGATGGTATCGCGAGTTTTGTCGCAATGTGCGATGGTGAAATCATGCGGCTGGAATTAGTCCGAACAAATCCTCAGAGCACTCCCCATGGTAAATGCGATAAAATACACAAAGAGATGAAACATCTCTTTGCAATGCCAGTGAGTCAAGCCGATCGGAAAGAGCTCGGTCGCCGATGATTCGAACAACTCTGCGCTGGATGAGATCAAATGGAAGGAGCTGGCACTGGGGAGCCCCAGCCCAGAGATGGGAACAGTATTCCATGTGCAGCCAAATCTATACCTTGTAAAGTTGCAGGCGGTGTGCCAGCATGAAATACTATTCCACTCTGCTGAGAACGCCAAGCTTTTTAGAGGTACATTAGACCTTCTCTTCCAAGTGATCACGAAACTGCACGTCACTTGATATATTGACGCCGAGGATTTCGATATGGCTGAGGCAACAAGGGGAGTTCCTTGAAACTGAGGAGATTCAAGGTTTCTTCTTAGCGGTAAACGCGCAAACTTTTGTCTTCTGAGGATTGAGCTAGACTAGATTTAGTCGCCCCCACTCCGAGAATTTGTTCAATAAAGTCTCAATTTCAGAAACAATTTTCTCCCGAAACTCGGTGACGTTTTCTAGAGAAATATTGGCACGTTAGGTGTATAAAGCATCACCAATGCATAGCAATCAATGTAAGTGGTTTGCAACATATCATTAATATGCAGAATCTACAGTGTTGGTGATAGCACGCAGCCTTGTGGAACACCAGCGTTAATGGGCTTGTAATCGGAGCATGCACCGTCTACTACGACTTTGATGCTCCGATCTGCAAGAAAACTGGTGATCTAATTATACAATTTCCTGGGCCCATAGGAAGGAAGCTTCTTAAGAACGCTTTGTGCCAAACCCGATCGAAGGCCTTCGCTGTCTCCAAACTAACAGTCAACGCCTCCTTGGAATCTACTGCCTCCGCCCATTTATCCCAGAAGGTCACCAGCTGAGTGACCCCAATGGAAACCGTACTGGCGGCCACTAATCAGCTGCTGATTCTAAGGTACCGCATGAGCTGGCTGTTAATAATGGACTTCATTACCTTAAAGAACAAGGAGTCGTTCGTTTTCCTATCGCCAGGCCTATAGTTGGACGGATCAGAGTAGTTACCTTTTTTAGAAATCGGGTGCACGAAAGCTGTCTTCCATGATTTTGGGACTACGCTCAGGGGAGTAGGGGTACCGGAAAAGACGCGTTAAAACCGGTGCCAACTTCAGAGCACACGTTTTCAGCACAATAGGAGGGATGCCATTCGGCCCACTCGACTTGTTGACGTCCAGGGAGAGGAGTGCTCTGCGCACTGAGCGTTGGGTAAACAGGACATCCTACATGGATCACTCACTCCGCGGGATGGTCGGGGGTGTGTTCCCCCTGTCATCAAGAGTCGAGTTTGATGCAAAGAGAGAGCCCAGCAGATCGGCTTTGTCCTTTGTTGTATAGGCCAGTGAGTCGTCCTTCCCGTGCAGAGATGGCTGACAGAAGTTCCCTTGGACAGCCGTGGTGAGAGACCAGAATGCATGTGTTCCCGAAGGAAGTCGAACTAGTTTCTCGCCAATTCTGCCAATGTGCTCTGACTTTGCCCTGGCAATGAATGAAGAATAAAGAATGAAGGACCTGGTGGCGGAATTCTTCTTCTTTTTATGAGCGCTGGTATTTGCATCCCGAGACGTCAATGCATCAGCGCAGGCACGGTAGCACTCCCGCTTACGGCGTAATGTTATTTTGCAGGAGCGATCGAACCATGGCTGGGTTCTGCCTCCGATAGGTATCACAGATGTTGGAATAAAAAATTCCATTCCCTGTGGGATCATCCAGCGAGAGGCAAACCCGCCCTCAAGGGTAGGATGCAAACAAAGGTCACATCCCGTCAGATTTGGCTGACCTATGATGCCTAACACGGCGGCAACCTGCAGAACGCAACCGCGATGGGAGTGTGAGTGGCGCCGTACTCCAGATCAGACCATGGTCCAAGGAGCTAAGAGAGGCATCGACGGGGACCTGATATCCGTCCGGATGAGAGGTCAGCAGGCCCAACAGGGAAGATACATGGTCTTCCACATCTGGGATCCGCGTAGGCACGGTAACCAGTTGTGTCAGACCACATGCCAAAGCAAAGTCATAATTAGAACCACCCGCATGATCAGTTAAACGGGAACCAAGCCATTCAGCGTGGTGAGCGTTAAAATCACCAGGCATCACGATCTCGGCGGATGGGACCTGTTGTAGCACGGAGTCTGCAGCCATTTTGACGTGGTCGATGAGTCAGTTTGTGTCGGCATTACCGCTATGAGACCTATAGAGGCACTAGTAGACGCAGGGATGGTCATCGCTGTCTACGCGCAGCCATAGGATGGACAGGTTCGTACCTTCAAGCCTGCCGAGGCGTCGAAAACAGATGTCTTCTCTGAAGTACACGCAAACTACAGTCCGAGGCACAAAGGAGTGTTCCGATTTGTGCCCCAGGTAGGAAAAAGAGCGTGATACTCAGTGAGCGGTACCAGCACCTCTGGTGAATCAGGGGTGCTGGTACCCTTCTGGGGTAGTATTGTTTTTAACTCCGCTACTCGTACTCGTAGGAAAATTAGGTCTCCGGCCACCTGCACTCACCAGTCGCAATGTAGAAGTAGAGCTTCTACTTCACGCTGGTCTTCTGTGAGGTCGTGGTCTCACCCCGGTTCGAGCCGGCCCATACATGCAACAGCAAAAGATGCCGCGTGGCTCTACCACTATCAAAAATATATATTATAGTTAAATATATATAATAAAAATACAAATAATCTTTTACCCGAACCTTTTAATTTAGCAAGTGTCATACAGTTTTGGAATCCTTATCAAATGCGCCAAATTTAAAAGTTCTTGCCAAATTACTGTAGTACATTTTTTTCAGTTTTTTCCAGTCGGTTAAATTTCGGTGAAGTATTAAATTTGAATACTTAGTTGGATTGAAGGGACATTTTTTTCTAAGCTGGAGAAGTCAGCTTTAAATTTTAGGCAACACTTACAACTTACGGAAGCATTATTCAGGATTACATAATAAAAATTAATAAAGATTTGTAGTATTGGGAGTTAAAAGACTAGTATCACGGGTTGTCTATTTTACGATATTTTTAAAATACCTATTATTTAAAAAATACATAACTTAAATTTTTATTTTATCTTTCTGATAACTATTATGACGGAGAAGAAGCCGGGAATGGATGTACCGTCCACGGCTTGACGTCGAATTCTGGGACAACCTGTATCCGCATACGTTTAATTTGGATTAGTATTTGGAATAATTATAATTTTTTCTTACATAATTGTTTATCAACTGTGTATTTAAAATATAAATCACGTTTTTTTAATTATCAATAACTATAACTATAATAATTTTGTAGAAACTGACATTTAATATCCAACAAATTGTAAATATTCATATATTAAATTACGAAAATACGCAGTTATAGTATTATTATCAGTGACGAAAATATTTGATGCTCTTTGACCTGTGCCCTGTTTATCAAAACTTACAAGCCTTGTATTACAAGCAATTTTCCTGTAAAAATTTAATTATTACAAACATGTGTTTATCAAAACTACACGTGTAAACTACAAGTTACATGGGTCATTATTTATTTCACAAGTATATTTTTACTCTTGTATTCGTGATTTTGTTCATCAAAAATCCCTTGTAAGTTACAATTTGTAGAAACTCATAGCAAATCCAAAGAATGTCCGGCGACTCTCCATTCCGTCTTACAAGAGTCATATGTAGTACTGTAATATTTTTTTAAATTTGATTGTCCTTTTTAAAATGTGGTCAAGTAACTCAAGCGATGATGAAAATATTAGAATAATGGAACCAAGAACGTATAGAACAAGAATTGATTACAGTCATATGGAGATGACTTATGAATTTAATGAAAGGTTTCGACTTATAGCTGAAAAATTGGATCAATTATTTACATTTTGAGTAACCATTTCGAAAGAAATACAACAGAAACCACGCCCTGACAACTAAATAAATATTACAAATAGTTCTACACTGGTTGGGAACCGGAGCTCAATACCGTGCTGTTTCTGACATGCATGGTGTAACAAAAGGCAGTGTATGCAATGCAGCCCACAGTGTTGTAGCACCCATCAACACCTTAATGTTTGAAAACTTCGTTAAATGGTGGAATAAAAT